AGTTTTTCCTTATCTGCTGCGGGGGTCCTAAGGACAGAGGGATGTCATATGCTGTAAAGCCCTCTGAGGCAAATTGTGATTTGTGATATTGGACTTTATAAATAAAAATGATTGATTGAATTGACTGTGACATCCCAGCCACACTGATCCTGACCAGCTTAAGGTCCCACCTACTTCTTTATAACCTAGGCCACCACAGTGGAGAAGTAGGGGGCCCCAGCCAGCTTGGTGGTAAGAAACCAAACTGGCTTGAGCCATGGCATAACCTTGCAGGGGTAGAAAGACAAACAATAGACACCTTGCACACCACATTTCCCAGGTCATCAAGAAGAACAGAAACATGTTGGTGTATCATGCCCAGAGGGGAGTCAGGTACAACACAAGTGATGATACACCCAACCCTTTTCACCAGTCCTGAGTTGTTCCGGTGAGTACAGACCCTGAAAAGGAGCCTGACATGTCCAAAAAATAGAACCTTATGAACGGGCAGGGCATAGATAATGAAGCTGCCGTACATATGTCCTCGACACTCACCCTGCTGAAAAAAGCCGCCGACACTGCCACATCATGTGTAGAGTGTGCACGCACCACAGTTTGAGGATCCCTGCCTGCCTGCCTGTAGGCTTGGGAGATGTACTCACAAAACCATCTTACAAGGCATTTCTTGGATAGGGCCTTACCTGCCACACCATCATCAAAACACACAAACAGATGTTCAGTGCGTCTGATGGGGGCCGTGTGTTCATATAACTTGTGTTCACATAACATGACAATGCAAAGACTGGGCAAAGCAGAAGCAATTTTTCCTCCCTTCCCCCATTATGGGGTGGAAGACAAAAATCAACTAACTGTACAACTCTTGCAACTAGAAAAAGCTCCTTAAGTTCTTGGGAACAAAGGGGGATTTGGTTCGAGAGAAGCCCCACTGCAGTCGCCACTTAGCAGCAAACAACTGGGGTGCACCGATAGGGCAGACATTTCACACACTCTCTTCGCTGAGGTCAACATAATTGGCAAAGCTATCTTAAATGACAACACCTTCAGAAAGCAGTGCTCCAGACATTCTTCACCAAAGCTTCGGATGGCATTGGCAGGTCCCATTGTGGGGAGGAGGCACATATCAGCTGCCGTTATCTCTTGATACCATGAAAAACTGCTTCACAAGAGGGTGGGCAAAGACTGGTCAGTCGCCAAACCCTCATGGAAGGAAGAGGAGGCTGCTGCTTGCACTTTAATAGTGGCATGTGACAGCCACTTCTTCCATCAAATAATGCAAAAAAGGAAAGAATAGAGCCAACTGCACATGACAGTGGATCTACTCTCCTTCCCCCACACCAGCGTTGGAAATCCAAACACTTTGCCTTGTAACAGGCAGTGGTCTCGCTGCCTAAATGTTCTGCACACCCTGCACAGACAATCTAGCCCTCCTTAAGCCTGTCCTTTTCTGGAGCCAAGCTTTGAGAGGTTGGCCCAGAGCAGGCAACGCACCTATCGCACCCTACTTCTGACATAGTACCTCCCAGAATTGGGGGATGGTCTTGGGCTGGGCTGCAATCTGTGGCCACCATACAGACCAACAACTGCCCCTGACTCACTCTCTCCAGTAGGGGAGGAATGAGATGGAGGGCGGGAAGGCATAAAGCAGCACTGACATGGACATTAACACTGACATATAACAGCATTGCCGCCCTGCATCTCAGCAACCAGGGGGGCATTGTTGGAGTGTCTCCAAAGAGGCAGCAAGGGAAATGGGGGTGGCTAGAGCTCTGTTGCGCCATCTCTCTTCTACTCTCTGCCAGTTACCATGCTTCTTTTCATCTTCTTCCTTAAAAGCCTTTTAATGATAGCAGTGACTCACCGAGATTACCATTGTCCTTATAGGGGGAATGAGTCTCAGCCACACATGACTGGAGCCTAACAGGGCAAGACATCACACAGCTTTCTGCAGCAACACCTTGAATGAGAACATGAATATGTTCATGGTGTGGTCCAAATGTCATTCCGAGATGGTGAGGGAGAGGGCATTTAGCTGATAGGACACCAGCAAATGTCCAACATATCACTAGCAGCCCCAGCTAGTTGTACTCCCAGCCAAAATATCTAGCTAAGTACTCTAGCATCTCTCTGCCATGCAGCAGCAGCTGCAATAGAGACTCCCTGCTCTTTGACAAATTAACTGACTGTGGAAGCAGGTGGCCTACCAGGCCATTGAGGGGGGCCATGCTGGTGACTACAGACGGTCAGTGCTGGACTCCCGCAGAATGCTGATATGCAGGAAACCGATAAGATATTGTCATCATCTACAAATGAATATGTTGTCTAAGCAGGGTTGACTGGAGGCAGCGGCAAAGTGTGGCAGTTGGAGCAGGGGTCTCAACATAATCGATCTCAAGCTCCTGCTCACTTTTAAAGCAGCAAAGCTTCACGTCAAAGTATCTGAAGTGATCCCAGCACTGCTGGCGTCTAAACTAGGTCAGCACCAGGCAGGCCTCAATGGCTGGTGGCTGCTGAATACTGCTCTCTGCAGTCTCGCTCTGTGCAGAGGCACTGATGAGGTTTTTGAAGCAGCAACTTCATCCATGGAAAACTCTGTTCAGTTGGCAAATCACCATCCCTGAAGAGAAATCGGACAGCTTCAGTGTGTCTCCTTATATATTGAGGGATCCACATGTTTTTGGGTAGGCATATCCTGATTGGCTGGCTACATTTATGCAAACCTCAGTTGGCGAATGCTTGCTCATAATTGGAGGATTATAACCCAGAGAGTCCAGTAGAGGGTGGAGCCAATGCGAGATAGAACATCCTAAAGTATGTATCCATATACTGACAAAACAGGAGAAGGAATCCTAAAAACATCCCAAAAAATTAAAAAGAATCTAATCACATATGCCAAGTTCATAAGAATGAGGGTCTGATTCCTAGTCAATGACTTTTGACTTCTTCCAAGTTGATGGTGTGAGCAATTTTGGTCCAGTGTCCGCTATTCGCTATTCATTCAGTCTCTTGCTCAGGGTCACTGACAATTCACTGATGTAGTGAACCCCACAGGTGTTACATGTGATATCATGGTGATGTCATACACCACTTCATTCTCCCTCTGGGGTGGGGGTAGGAGAGAGGGGGAGTGGGGCTGGGGGGAGCCCTGCCTTTGTTGTAAGCGCTGACTGCTTGTGACTTGACTCTGGTTAGATGTTCTGATAGTTGTGCCATGTAAGGGAGTCCCACTGAAATGCTTCTGGTGGTCCTCCTTGATTAAGCAGAGTCCACTCTGATCTGAAGTAATGGTGGGAATTTCAACATCCTCTACTTGTATCCATTGGTCCTGAGTACCCCTGGACGTGAGTACCCCCTGGACCTGCTGTGCCTCCCTCTCTATCCTCCTCACTGAAAAGATTTTGTGCACTGTTAGAAGGCTCCTCGCCACTGATCTTTGATATTGTAAGTGGTAATGAGAGTTTAGGTAAACAAAATGGTCGGGTAGGTGGCCGTCCTGTAGTGCTTGCAGTCACAAACAGAACAATGATAACTTAATATATTCAAGTGGATGTACCATCCACGTCTGTCTCTCAACCATTTTGAACTGTGTGGTCTTTGTAAGGTCGTGCTGTAAAGGCAGTTTGCAACTAGTACACAGCATTAAGTCATAAGACAAAGTTCATGGAACTTCAGCTCTAAATGAAAGCTCTGTGCGAATATAATTCATATTTGTAAGAATCCACTACTTGCAGCAATTCCAGACAGCAATTATTTTGTCAGCAGAGGTTTTCTTCAAAGTGAGAGCAAGGAGAAGATCACAGCTCATTGTCATCTGCTCTGTCTGGTTTTACAGGGGGAGTACTTACATACATATGTACACACATATGCAAACTTATCCTGAGCGCCAACAGGGAAGGAACTACATCCCCCCTTAATATCACCAGGTCCTCGGTGGAGAGGGTGGACAGTGACAAGTACCTTGGTGTCCACATCACCGAGGGCCTGATTCTGGGAATTCCCTCAAATACTGAGGAACTTCTACTCCTGGCTACGAGAATCTTTAAGGATTCCAACCAACTGGATAATGGCCTTTTCTCACTGTTGAGGTTGGGAAGAGGGTACCGGTTACACCAGGCCGGCACTGAGTGGCCCAGGAGGAGCTTCTACCTACAAGGATCCTAAATATGGTCGTTTCAACTGCTGGAACTTCCTCTGTCTTGAAGTTCTGTTTCTGCATTTATACAGAAGCATTGAAAAAAGTGGACCAGGGGGCTGATCAGTGTCATTTATCTAATCAGAGTCTTAAAGTCAAAAAGAGTCAGCACTTAACGGGGAATGCCTCTTTAAAGAAAATATCAGTTAACATGAAAAACTCTCCCAAATCCAAAAGCTAGAGTGCTAAAACTCAAATCTGTGATGTCATAGGGTATAAAGTTTGGAGCTGATAAGAAATGGTGAAAGATGTTCGAGATGACACTGAGAGCAGCCAGGGGACTGTTCTCAGTATGTGGGTGCATTTTCTGTTTCAGAACTGAGAAAACTCAAAAAGAATGAAGCTCATTAGGGTATAAAAACAACAAACAAAATCAGTCTCTCATTCAATGTCTATGGAGCAGTTTCAGACTTTATCCCCGATGACATCGCAAGTTTGAGACTTACTGCTCTGGCTTTGAGAGAGAGTAGCTCAAGTTCATAGATATTGATTGAACTTTTCTAGATAACATTTTGTAATTCCTCATTTAGATGGTGTTCCCCTTAAATATGTTATACATCAACAGGTAGTGTTGAGTTTAATGATTGAAAAGGTGACAAAGACAATGCAGTCGGAATGAATTTCTTAAAAAGGAAAACTGAGAGCAGCACAGTGGTGAGTATGACATGGTTCATTGGCACTGATGGATTTTGATAATACATTCATCTGATGCTGAATTTGTTTTTACCAGCATTTATGTGAGAATTCTGTGTGTGTGTGTGTGTGTGTGTGTGTGTGTGTGTGTGTGTGTGTGTGCGTGTGTGTGTTTCAGCACCTGATGTGCGCTGGCCTATGGTGTTTGGTAGAAGGTGATACATCCTGCAAGACCAAACTGGATCCTCCTCTGGATGGAACAGAGTGTGGAGCAGATAAGGTAGGACCGTCTCACTCACGCACACTGGGCTTCCAGACCTCTTTCAAAAGTTTGTAAAAATCTCTTATAAACAATGCTATATGCATCTCGTGTGTATAAAGAAAGAAAAATAGCCTCAAACAGTGACTTGGCTTGCAGGGTGATGGTCAAAGAATTGCAAATACAAACAAACATTGTATAGAATTCAAGTTCGGCAGTATTTCCCCGTTAAAGTCTTTTTTTCGGGGTCGTATGCTGTAAAGCCCTCTGAGGCAAATTGCGATTTGTGATATTGAGCTTTATAAATAAAATTGAATTGAATTGAACATGATTGAAGATGCTGGGTTTCACTCCACTTCCACATTTCATGGACAAAAATCATTTGGATGCTGCAAATTAACAGTAGCTGTTCTATGATTTGCCTTAACCCACTTAGCAATTATGTCCACATTACTGATGATTGTTAGTCAAAATTGTCATTATGTAAATATGTTGTGAAAGCACCAATAGTCAACCCGAAAAATATTGTCATGATATCGATATTGATATATTTGGTATTTGATGTTATCCATATCACCCATGCCAAGGGTGCCATGCTCTACCAACTCATCTAAAGGTGCTACATTGTCATGAATGCAATGGTGAGACATGCTGTGACATGAACACCATTGCATTCATGACAATGTAGTGGTGTTCATGTCACAGCATGTCTCACCATTGCATTCATGACAATGGTGAGACATAGCATGTCTCACTATTGTCATGAATGCAATGGTGGTGAAGAGGGGCTGGCTGGCATTTTGAATAATTTTAGCCATCTTAGGCCAAAGGAGAGGGGGTTGTAGCCGATTCAGTGGTCTGGCATGGACCAGTGGTCACTACCACGGACCAGTGGTCACTACCACTAGGGGTGCTAAAGATACTGGTTGCGACCAGCTCCTCAATGGTCTGGACCAGCTGCTCCCTGGCACAGACCAGTGGTCGCTGCTCGCGACCAGCTCCTCAGTGGTCTGTCCTGTGTTCCTTGTGGTCTTTCTGGATCAGTTAATGAGTGGTCCATGGGTTGATTTTTGTATTTTTAATACACCTTCTCCCTTCTCAGGAATTGCCTTATTTGTATGTTTTTTTCAAATAAGGCAAGTGCTGATATAATTCCTGATGTATTTGTACAAGGAACAAAGCTTGAGGTGGTACAGGAGTTTAAATATCTGGGAATCATGATAGACTCACAGCTACGCTTCAAACAACAAGTAAAAAGAACTGTGAATCGAATAAAATTTAATCTCTCTAACAAATACATTAGAAGTAACTTAACTGTCGATTCAGCCAAACTGTACCTTAAAGGGCCAGTATGTAAAATGGGTTGAAAACAGTGACATGTAGCGTTTAGATTCTAGATTGCAGCGCTCACTCGCTCGCCTGTGCTCACCCCTCCCGTCGGCAAAGTTACGGTGGCCTCCGAGGACCAAAACACTTTGGAAAAATGGCGTCGTCCGCGACAGAGAGCAACGTCTCTGCTGGTAACTTATCCGAAGCAACGAGCAATGAGGTGAAGATCTAAACCATATTACAATATGTTATAGGTTATCAGTGAGAGGTTAGGAGTATTGTATTCCTAATTGTTTTGGTAACACGAGCAAACATTAGCACAGTAATGCTAAATAAAGTCATGCACAGCATGCAATAATCCTTAGGTTGGTAGGATAACTATTAACATTACATATTATAATATGCGTTTGCAGAGTGATTTTCCACAGGAGACAGGGAGAGGAGGGAGAGAAGGGAGAGAGAGAGGGAGAGGAGGAAGACGAGGGAGAGGGAGAGGGAGAGGAGGAAGACGAGGGCAAGGAAGAGGTGCAGGAAGGGCCAGGTGACGTGCCTCAGCCACGGAGAGGGAAGAGGAGGAGGGGAGGATGTTATGCCTGTTATGCCTTTGACATAAGACTAAAATTTTCGCAAGTGTTTTACAGTAATTGCTCTACCTGGAGATGATGTAACGTTACGAACTCTCCTCCTCACTCCCTACTTGTCGAGTCCGACACGTAACGCTATTATACTACGTGCTGACAAATAGTAGCATTTATTTTAGTAGTTTACCTGTCCAGCAGAAAACATGCCACTTCAGCATCGGATTGAAGCCCTTTGTCCTTCATGAACCCCCTCCATCACTGAAAAACGTCATCGATGTTAATTCTCTGCCGCCGCTTGTCCCGTTTTCTTTGGCCCTCTTTGCGTCTTCTTTTCCTCGCAAATGATGGTTCGGGTTCATTCTCTCCTGTTGCGTGGTAAGTGTGGTCCATTCGCAAACTTTATAACTTAAAAAACTTTTCACTACTCTCTATCGACGAACTACTAACACTCTCTGCTGTTTCCTCCTCCTTCTTCCTTACTTCCGCTGTCTTCTTTGTTGGTTTATTTACACACGCAAAACGCGTTCTCTGGCTGTCTGGATTGTCAGCTCGGGCTGCCGTACATACATGGCAGCGTAAGATGGCGACCTCTCTAAAGCAAGGCCCTTGCTATATATATATTAAAGCATAATTATAAGGCTACGAAAATCAAACGAATTTTATTTTATAGCGATTATACACTTGTATAAACATATTAATGGGTAGAATATTCAGATTCAGATTCAGATTTGACAATAAACCATGCCAAATATTACACACTGGCCCTTTAATGCGATGATAGTGCCACATATTACCTACTGTATAACAACCTGGGCACTGGCATGTAAGTCCACGCTAAAGCCTGTTGAAATTGCATACAAACAATCTCTGAAAATTCTAGATAAAACGCCCAACACATACCATCATTGTGCCATCTTGAAGAAATATGAACTCCTGAGTTGGGAAAACATAATAAAAAATTCAGATTGTATCCTGGTCTATAAAATCCTCCACGGACTGGCTCCACCTCTGTTAAGTGAATTTATAAAGAAAAACACAAATAGGTCAACCAGAGCAGGATCCAGAGGTGACTGTCTGGTCCCATTTAGGAAAACTGTTTTTGGGCAGTCAGCGTTCTCATATCGAGCGTCACATACATGGAACACAGTACCGAGTGACATACGAGATATACCAACCCTTACCTCATTCACTAAACACTTAAAAATATGGTTCCTAGATAATCAATACTGTACTCATATCCTATCTTGATCCTCTGAATGTGCTGTATGTATTTGTTTGCTGTAATGTGTGGGATTATTTGTTGGGCTGTAATTTTGGGGATGTTGCTGGTGTAAAACCAATCCTCGTGACCTTGTATACACACATATAATTATGTAGGTGAATACTGTGAATAGTGCGTACACAAATACATCTGTGTACATTTAACAAGTGCAATAATATCTGCACACTTATCTGTGTGTAAGAAATATGTCAAAATATGCAATAACACCAGCAGGTTTTGACACTACAGCACCTAGCACTTTAGCACTCAAGTGCTTTAGCACCTAAACACTTCAGCACTCAAGCACTTTATGGCTCCCCAAATTCTGGTTCTGTCAAGAGTACACGGTTTAATGCTTATTGTTTTTCTGTCTGACTACTGTACTTTTATTATCTTAACATCAACCTGCCCCCAGGGACTAAAGATGGAAATTAGCCACTGGCTATAATCTTGCATATTTACATGTAAATGTTATGATCAATATGCACTGTCCCTGTTTTTGTTTCTTAAATAAATAAATCTACAAATCTATAAATGTCGTGTTGGCAGCACTGTTAGCTGAATAAATGTCAGAGATCAGAGTTTAAAGCCTGACCAGGGACAAAGACTGCAAATTAGCACTAAAGATACTGGTCCTGACCAGCTCCTCGGTTGTCGTGACAGGCTCCTCAGTGACCTGTCCTGTGTTCCTTGTGGTCTGTCTGTTGTCTGGATCAGTTAATGAGTGGTCTGTGGGGTGATTTTTGTATTTTTAATACACTTTCTCCCTTCTCATGGTGTTGGCAGCGTTAGCTGCATATTAGCTGAAACTAGACGTCTTATATGCATGCCATTTTCCCATTTTTTATGGCAATGTTGTACGTATTGTCCCGTAAAATGAAAAAATCACAATCTTTTGTCTGTCAAATATACTATATTATGCATATTCTTTATTGTTGCACTGTAATATTGCAGTTCGTGTCTCTCCCTCTCTTTCTCTGCACAGTATGAGTCTCTATTTTATTTAACCGTTTATAACTATGAACCAGTGGTCCAAGATACTGGTCGTGACTGCTCAGTGGTCGGGAACATCAGGTCCCTAACACGGACCAGTGGTCAGTGGTCTGGACCAGCTGCTCAGTGGTCGGGACCAGCTACTCCCTGGCACGGACCGGTGGTCGCGACCAGCTCCTCAGTGATCTGTCCTGTGCTCCTTGTGGTCTGTCTGTTGTCTGGATCAGTTAATGAGTGGTTGGTGGAGTGATGTATAATTTTAATACACCTTCTCCCTTCTGCTGATGTGTTTGTCTATCAAATATAGCCTACTATTGATTATGCCTATGTTCTTATTGTTGCACCATAATATTGCAGTTTGTGTGGTTACAACTAGTCTCTCATTCCCCCTCTCTTTCTCTATGCACAGTATGAGTGGCTATTTTATTTAACTGCAGTGTTTCCCCTACCATTATTTTGGGGGGCGCCTTGGAGCGGATCCTGTGCTGCGTCCAGGCGTTGTCACGTAAATAACAAATTCCAGCATTTGAATTGTGCTTCAAGAGTTGAGGGAAATAAAACCACCATAACCGAAATAAGTTTGCAATTTACAATAAAAATGTACACGTAATATTTACAGAATATAACAGAAAAATGGAATACAGACATTGGATTCAAACAAACACATCCACCTGAATTCATTTCATTCATCAATAATTTTTCCAAGGCTTTTTCGGCATGGAACCTCGGAAAGCCCTCGAACCGCACCAGGATGCCTATTGTGGCCTACATAAAAGAACACAATTTAGGAAAAAAAAAAAATAGATCCATTACAAGAATGATGACACATTGACAGCTATATTACTATTAATGAACAG